AGGAGGAGGAGGAGGGAGGAGGGAGGAGGGAGGAGGGGAGGAGGAGGAGGAGGAGGAGGAGGGAGGAGGAGGAGGAGGAGGGAGGAGGGAGGAGGGGGGAGGAGGGGAGGAGGGGGAGGAGGGGGAGGAGAGGAGGAGGGAGGAGGGGAGGAGGGGAGGAGGGGGAGGAGGAGGAGGAGGAGGGGGGAGGAGGAGGAGGAGGAGGGAGGGAGGGAGGGGAGAGGGAGGAGGGATTCAAGTCTTTTTCTTCTGTGTTTTTTTTTTTTTTTTGGCCTTTCTTCTGTGTTTCTTCGGCTTTTCTTTTGCGTTTTTTCTGTGTTTTCTTGGCATTTTTTGCATTTTTTTCAGTGTTTCTTGAGCATATATTTGGCTTTTTTTTTTTTTTTTTTGGTCTTTCTTCAGTGTTTCTTCTACGTTTCTTGAACATTTCTTGAGTGTTTCTTCTGTGTTTTTTCAGTGTGTTGTTCTTGTTGTTTTCAGTGTTTCTTATGAGTTTTTTGCATTTCTTTGGCGTTTCTTTTTATTGTTTATTTTTTTTGGCCTTTCTTCTGTGTTTTTTCAACATTTCTTCAGTGTTTCTTTGGTGTTTCTTCAGTGTTGTTTCAGTTCAGTGTTATTTCAGTGTGGTGTTGTTTCAGTTCGGTGTTATTTCAGTTTGGTGTTGTTTCAGTTCAGTGTTATTTCAGTTTGGTGTTGTTTCAGTGTTGTTTCAGTTCAGTGTTATTTCAGTTTGGTGTTGTTTCAGTTAGGTGTTGTTTCAGTTCGGTGTTGTTTCAGTGTGTTGTTTCAGTTGTGTTTCAGTTTGGTGTTGTTTCAGTTCGGTGTTGTTCAGTTTGTTTTTCAGTTTGTTGTTGTTTGTTGTTTCAGTTGGGTGTTGTTTCATTTCGGTGTTGTTTCAGTGTGGTGTTGTTTCATTTCGGTGTTGTTTCAGTGTGGTGTTGTTTCAGTTCGGTGTTGTTTCAGTGTGCTGTTCTTGTCGTTTTTGGTGTTGTTTCAGTGTGTTGTTCTTGTCGTTTTTGTTGTTATTTCAGTTTGGTGTTGTTTCAGTTCGGTGTTGTTTCAGTTCAGTGTTATTTCAGTTTGGTGTTGTTTCAGTGTGGTGTTGTTTCAGTTCGGTGTTGTTTCAGTGTGCTGTTCTTGTCGTTTTTGGTGTTGTTTCAGTGTGTTGTTCTTGTCGTTTTTGTTGTTATTTCAGTTTGATGTTGTTTCAGTTTGGTGTTGTTTCAGTTGGGTGTTGTTTCAGTTCAGTGTTGTTTCAGTTTGGTGTTGTTTCAGTTCGTGTTGTTTCAGTTCGGTGTTATTTCAGTTGGTGTTGTTTCAGTTCAGTGTTATGTTTCAGTTCGGTGTTGTTTCAGTTCAGTGTTATTTCAGTTGGGTGTTGTTTCAGTTTGGTGTTGTTTCAGTTCAGTGTTATTTCAGTGTGTGTTTCAGTTGGGTGTTGTTTCAGTTGGTGTTGTTTCAGTTGGGTGTTGTTTCAGTTGGGTGTTGTTTCAGTTGGGTGTTGTTTCAGTTGTCGTTTTTCCGTCTCAGGGCTTTAAGGACATAAACCTGGAGCGTTTCATGCACGGTGGAGCCAACGTGACGGGATTTCAGCTCGTGGACTTCAGCAACGCCCTGGTCATCAAACTCATGCAGCGCTGGAACAAACTGGACCAGAGGGAGTATCCCGGGTCCGACACCCCCCCGAAGGTACCGGACCGGGACCGGGACCAGGACCGGGACCAAGACCGGGACCAAGACTAGGACCGGGACCAGGACCAGGACTGAACCAAAACTGAACGAGGACCAGGACCGGGACCAGGACCAAGACTAGGACCAGGACCAAGACCAGGACTGAAACAGGACCAGGACCGGGACCAGGACCAGGACCGGGACCAGGACCAGGACTGAACCAGGACCAGGACTGAACCAAGACTGAAACAGGACCAGGATTGAACAGGACCGGGACCAAGACCAGGACCAGGACCAGGACTAAACCAGGACTAGGACTGAACCAGGACCAGGACTGAACCAGGACCAGGACTGAACCAGAACTGAACCAGGACCGGGACTAAACTGGGACCTTTGTGGAGTTTGTTGGTTGAAGATTTGATGATGGGGCAGATTTATGAAAATATGACACACACTTACACACACACATTTACACACACATTTACACACACACATTTACACACACACATTTACACACACACACTTACACACACACATTTACACACACATTTACACACATTTCACACACACACATTTACACACACATTTACACACACATTTACACACACATTTACACACATTTACACACACACATTTACACACACACATTTACACACACACATTTACACACACACATTTACACACACACATTTACACACACATTTACACACACACATTTACACACACACATTACACACACATTTACACACACACATTTACACACACATTTACACACATTTCACACACATTTACACACATTTACACACACACATTTCACACACTTACACACACATTTACACACACATTTACACACACATTTACACACACACATTTACACACACATTTACACACACATTTACACACACACATTTACACACACATTTACACACACACATTTACACACACACACATTTACACACACATTTACACAGAAAAACATTAACTGTAAGTTCCACAAACCTACAACGAGACACTTCCAGTCGTTGTAAAAAAGGTTTATTAAAAGAATCATAAAAATATAATTATACAAATATTAACTGACTGAGGTTTAATGAAAAGAGAGTGTGTGTGTATCTGTGTGTGTATCTGTGTGTGTGTGTATGTGCATGTGTAAAAGTGTGTGTGTGTGTGTGTATCTGTGTGTGTGTGTGTATCTGTGTGTGTGTGTGTGTATCTGTGTGTGTGTGTATGTGTGTGTGTGTGTGTGTGTATCTGTGTGTGTGTGTATGTGCATGTGTAAAAGTGTGTGTGTGTGTGTGTATCTGTGTGTGTGTGTGTATGTGTGTGTGTGTGTATCTGTGTGTGTGTGTATCTGTGTGTGTGTGTGTGTATCTGTGTGTGTGTGTGTGATCACTCAAGTGTGACAGAGTGAACTCGTCAGTTGTGCGTCTCTGTCTTCATCATGTGTCAGTCGCTCGTCTTAACTCATGTGACCATGTGACCTACTTCAGGCTGTTCTTGCTCATCTCCTAGTTTAGTCCTGGTTTAGTCCTGGTTTAGTCCTGGTTTAGCCCTGGTTTTTGTCCTGGTTTAGTCCTGGTTTTAGTCCTGGTTTAGTCCTAGTTTAGTCCTAGTTTAGTCCTGGTTTAGTTCTGGTTTAGTCCTAGTTTAGTCCTGGTTTAGCCCTGGTTTTAGTCCTGGTTTAGTCCTGGTTTTAGTCCTGGTTTAGTTCTGGTTTAGACCTGGTTTTAGTCCTGGTTTAGTCCTGGTTTAGTCCTGGTTTAGCCCTGGTTTAGACCTGGTTTAGACCTGCTTTAGACCTGGTTTTAGTCCTGGTTTAGTCCTGGTTTAGTCCTGTGAAGTGATGTCATATTTTTGACAGATGAGTCGCGTCTGTGAATTCGTACTGAAGAAATCACAATTGTAATTTTTTCGGTTTTGTACAAGCACAGTTTGGGTTCTGGAACATCCATGACACAATAGTTCTGAAATCACAGATCAGGAACTCTCCTCCCCCCGCCCGTCCTGAGAAAGCACAGGCTCCGCCCTCCAAACGTGACGTAGACTCTGAGTGAGCCGCCCTTCCTCCGCCGTCTCAGGGAGGGAGGGGGAGACAGACGTGACCCTGACAGCGGCAGGAATAAACTTTTATTCATCATGGAGACACAGCGCGTTCAGCCGCACGTGTTGGACCCGGAATCGGACGAGGACGAAGCTCAAGCACCGAGTCCACATCAACTGAACATTACTGAAACACTAGACCAGGACTAAACCAGGACTGAACCAGGACTAAACCAGGACTAAACCAGGACTGAACCAGGACTAAACCAGGACTAAACCAGGACTGAACCAGGACTAAACCAGGACTAAACCAGGACTGAACCAGGACTAAACCAGGACTAAACCAGGACTACTGAACCAGGACTAAACCAGGAACCAGGACTGAACCAGGACTGAGGACTGAACCAGGACTAAACCAGGACTAAACCAGGACTGAACCAGGTCTAAACCAGGACTAAACCAGGTCTAAACCAGGTCTAAACCAAAACTAAACCAGGACTAAACCAGGTCTAAACCAGGACTAAACCAGGACTAAACCAGGTCTAAACCAGAACTAAACCAGAACTAAACCAGGTCTAAACCAGAACTAAACCAGAACTAAACCAGGACTAAACCAGAACTGAACCAGGAAACCAGGACTGAACCAGGACAGGACTAAACCAGGACTAAACCAGGACTGAACCAGGACTAGACCAGGACTAAACCAAACCAGGACTGAACCAGGAACCAGGACTAAACCAGGACTAAACCAGGACTAAAACCAGGACTAAACCAGGGAACCAGGACTAAACCAGGACTAAACCAGGACTGAACCAGGACTAAACCAGGACTAAACCAGGACTAGACCAGGACTAAACCAGGACTAAACCAGGACTGAACCAGGACTAAACCAGGACTAGACCAGGACTCCAGGTCTGTTTTTGAGGCGTGACCAGCGTTGGAACATGACCTGAAGCTCACAGGAGTCAGGTCTGTGTACTTCAGGTCCTTTAAGCGTGTGTTTTCTCTCAGTACACGTCGGCGCTGACCTACGACGGCGTGATGGTGATGGCCGAGGCGTTCAGGGCCCTGCGCCGGCAGAAGGTGGACCTCTCCAGACGAGGAAACGCCGGGGACTGTCTGGCAAACCCCGCCGCCCCCTGGAACCAAGGCCTGGACATGGAGAGGACCCTGAAAAAGGTCAGAACCAAACTGCGGCAGGACAGAGAGCTACAGGGGGCTGTTTAGAGCTGTCACACATTTAGAAAATAAACTTTAAACTGAGTATTTTCTCACGTTTAAACTCAAAA